TGTTTAATTCAAATCTCTACCTCCCACATTCCAGAATGGTGCACTAACTACTAGGCTACTGGGTAGCCTGGATGCATCTCCCTTCTGCTGCAGCTGTTTTATTTGTATACTGAATATTCATTGGCTTAGAGAGAGCAAGAGCAACTTTACAGCTCAGTGATTGTGACAGTCATTTGAGAGCAGCCCCTACTTCAATTGATATTTGTATGGTTTGGAACAGTTCAACAGGAGGGACTGACACCCATCCAGAATACTGATCATCCTGGAATGTAGGGTATTCTTGAAGGCAAGAGACCTGTTCTCAGATCAGGCGGTGAGAATTTGAAAACAGGGCTCTTATGTTTCAGTAGAGCAGGGGTGGGCAAAATGGTGGATCTAGCTGGCAGCTGGACTCCATTTCCCAGGACCCCCCTGCCCACATTGGTACAACTGGTTTCCATGGAGACTTGAGGAGCAGCAGGGCCATGACAGCATGTGGCCAGGGTTGCTATGGAGATCGGTCCCAGCAGCACTGGCAGGGTGTATGGCTGGGTGGGGAGGTGCTCCAGGGCTGAAGTCAAGATCATTTGATGGTGCCAGCATGGTCTGGAGCTGTGATCCCTGCCCAGGGCGTGGGCAGCAGATCACAGCTCTGCCGTGGTCCAGAACCAGGTTGTCACCATTGCAAGATCCCATCTCCAGAGCAGCTCCCTGCCCAGCAGAGCACCCTGCCAGTGCTGCTGGGACTGGTTTCCATGGAAATCTTGGCCCCATGCTGTCACAGCCCTGTTGCTCCTTTAGTCTCCATGGAAACCAGCCACAGCTGCTGGCCTGGACTTTACCTGCCTCTGCAATACTGCCTAAATCACTGGACTGCTAGACATGATGGGGAGAGGTGTTTTTTTTGTTTTTTACAAAATACAAAGACCAACTTGGTTTAGGCACCTGACTCTGGGAAAGGGGTCATGGCTGAGAATCCCAAAAAGGTAGGTACTATGCCAGCTTTGAGGGCATAGGTTTTGTTCTGGTTTGCCTATCCTTAGACACTTACCTTGCATAGGTTAAGTGCTCAGGTTCTCTCCAAAATACACCCAGCTGGGATGAAGTTGCCATTAGCCAACTGCAGCACCTAAAAGTCAGGCACTGGACTGCTGCATTCCTGTGCCAACTGCAGCACCTTAACCACTATCATTTTGCAATTAACAATGCATTACTGGAACATTTTTAAAATGTCTTTTCTTTTGGGGACTAAATGCACTGTGAATGATTCACCTTTTTAAAAACAATAAAGCCTTCTGTTTGTCCCGGTTTGGATCTTTGTTGGCTGGACTCTCCGTTCTTGGATTTTAAGAGCAGGTTAAACTGACACTTGAGCAGAATGGTTTAGTTGGGGATAATTCTTGAGCAGGGAGCTGGACTAGATGATAGCCTGAGGTCCCTTCCACTCCTATTTTATGAAAGAGGGAACTGACGTACTCAGAACAAGTTACTGCAGGAGTTGCTCCCCCTATTTGCCTATCAAGAAGGAATTACAATTTATGGTGGATTAGCATTTGGCAAACAGATGCAGTTTGCTCCAATCCAGTTAGGTCTAGTACCAGTTACATGACACAATACTTTTTTTGCCCAGATTCATTTATTTGGGTCTCAAGGTTATCACAACTTGCTGCTGTTCTGATAACTGAGATAAACAGTGGCTTAGAATTCCTGGCCTCATGGCACAAGCAACATACTTGTCAATATAGACCAGCACTTCACTTCCTTAAGTCTCTCTCAGAGTAAGGATAAGGCCAATTAGGAGAGGCTGTATAAGCAACAGTTTCAAGTGAGTAAGTACTAGCTGGAGCGGCCCTACTATGTACATAGCTGGGGTGGGAAGTTAGAAAGATTCATGAAACAATTGTTTTGCTGTGCAGAGCTATGCAGTGATGGGAGTAAAGTGACCCAGCTAGATGAAAAGCACTCTGAAAGCTACAGCAAAAAAGGCTAGGGGAAGAAAAATAAGTCACATGAAAATCACTCCAGGAAATTGGCTAACAGTAGGGACAGTGCAGAAATAATAATTAGTAGATAAAACAGGGTGTTAGTAGCAGAGAATCACAGGGCCAGCAAAAGTAGGCAGAAAATGAAGATCCTTCATCCCAGTTTCACAAATTAGGCAGGGTTTTTTTTTTTAAAGGAGTGGTGTAAAAATGTTGCTTTACCCTTGGAGGCAGTTTTTAGCTTAATAAGAAACAGAGCTGGATAATTTCTAGTAGCAAAAAAAGTTCATGCACATGCCCAGGAAGTATTTTCAACAGACTGCTATATACCAATCCCTATTTCAGAGGAAGGATAATGATTTGACATTCTCGCTCTATTCTACTAATATTATTAAGGTCTAATGCTGGACTGTATCCTTGGTGCAACATCCTTATTTCACCAGGGCAGTACCAGATCCATTCACAGCAGTCGGTGAGCAGAAGGATTCTACCTATTTTCTGAGCCACATGCCTAATTCCAGTATTAGTCAGATACACAATGCCACAAATGCATCTGATAAGAGCTGTGCAAGTGACACTTATGCTAAGCTGGATGAAGTGGGTTTTTGTCCCTGATCAGTGGAAAGGTGAGGGATCAGACAAAGTCTAAACTCTACTTACAGATGCTCTGACTAACGAGACACATCTTAGCACATATTTATCTGGTCTCTTTGTCCATGAGACCAGCACATCAATCTTGCCTCCTTTCTCTTTATCTGCATAGTGCTTGGTGGGGCTGTAACACCGCTATTATTCCAAAATCAATTTGTCACTGTCAACTAAGTGAATGTCAGTTTGGGTTCTGTATATTCCAGAATTCCACAGAATTAACCCCTTGTGTGTATAAAAACAAACACCTCCACACAATCTTCATTACCATCATCCCTTCTACCCTAACAGTTCAGAACAGTGTTCTTCATTACATTCTCTATGAGAACTTTAGTCTGATGCTCAAAACCTCCCATATACCAGAGGGATACCATCTTAGCACCAGCTTATCTTAATCACTGGTCGCTATACTGTTTTCCATAAACCTAGCTAGCCTGCCTATTTTTCTTGCTATTTCCTTGTCTTTACTGCTAGCTGGGCTCTTCATGTTCCCTGCTATCAAGAATGCTACAAACACACACCCATGTTTTGCAGGGAAAGCTACAGGCAGATCCTAGAAAAAGTAGTGGCACAGCAGGTGCCTTGCTACAGTACAGTGAGCAACCTCATGATCTGGAAAATGCCAAACTTGGTGTTCACAGAATTGAGAGATCCCTGGAATACAGAGAGATTACCTAGGTATTTCACACCTCTTGGGCTGTATCAGGCACCTTACAAATATAAGTGAACATCACTTGCTTTTTGTTTATGTTTTTCAGTGTTTGACATAATGCAGAAACATTTTTTTCCTTAAAATAAGAGAGAGCGTAATTTCACTTTCAGGATATACAGAGCACAGGTCACAGAGTCAAGTAGAAGTCAACCAATTTACCAGGAGTCACATCCACAAGCACTAAGTTCCATCTTTTTGCAGTAGCCATCATACCAGGATCCTGTGTACTATTCACCCTCCTTTAGAACACCTTAAGTGAATACCATCTATACAACACCTATTGCTCAGTTCATCACCATTTTGAGTACCGTTACTACTCTACATTTTTTTTTAGAATGGATAGTAATTTAGATACACCTTATTTAGCATTAGTTGAGATTTGGGTTTATTCTTGCCAATGCTGTTGCTTTTCTGGAGTTTTTCTTAATAAAGCCCAGTTATCTTCTCCAGTTACTTTCTTGCAATACTAATTTTCTCACTTATGAGCGATCATCTCTGGGTAGACTGTATGGGCTAAAATAGAGGCTCTCTAAATAAGCTCATGTAGGACATATACATTGTTCTATATTCTCTTTTCTGAAATGCAGATTCTTTTTTTCTAAAAAGCAAAGAGCTTGCAAGTGCAAGAAGAAAAACCCATAGAATATCAAAATACATGCATGCAAAACAGACTGAATGTTGTGCTAATCAACAATCTCAAGTTTTTTGTATATATTTTCTCATGAATATTCATTATACCTATCTTCATGTTATTCAATATTATGCAAACTGAACAGCAGGAGAGGACACTCATATTACAACACGATAAGGTAACAGAATTTTTTTTTTTTTTACACCTCACATGCAAGTGGAAGCTTGTTTTTGTTTTTTACCTCTATAACTATTAGGTTGTTTATAATTTATTTCTGCATATGCTCATAATTATGCACACCATGGGAAATTAATTCTTGCCTTTACAGCTTAGTAATAACTTTAATACTGCACTTGTGTTTATATGTAACAGGTGATACAGTTACCAAGCAGATGAGAATCTCAGTGTTAAGTCCAGGGCAAACATAAAATAAATAACAGTCCTCCCCAAATGGTTATAAAAGGGGTCTCTTTTGCAAACAAATCTTTCCATGGGTGTTCACTGTGTTTGTAGTTTCCTTTATTAAATAATTTGCTGTGGAGGCATAGACTCCCTGTGCAGATCTCTGCCAAGATGGGGCCTAAAAATAAAATTTAGCAGGTGGATATAGCAAGCTGGCAACAGGACAGAGTGATGGTAATAACGTGTTCTAGCACCAACTACCTGTATGCAGTCTTCATATTTTTAATAGACTGATAATATTCAGAGTAATCTACACTTGCTACTGTGTTGTGATACAAGGTAGTTTAGACAAATAAAAGTTGGCATTACGTAAGTAAAACCATACTTCTGCGTTTCTTATGTACTCTGTTTTAAACCAAACTAATGTAAAAACATCCACTGCAAATTATGTCAACATTTCACAATTAGCATTTGAACTGTGGCATAGGGTAAAGTCCTGATCTAAGACATCCATGTATCTTGTAAAATCAGTTGCCAAACACAAACATACCTCATACCTGAACACCAGAGACTTCCTGTCTTGTAGGCTTTTTTAAAGTAAATTTATTTTTTTTAATTTCCTTGCTAATGTATTCAAGCCAGTCTGGAATCCTGAAATTATTTTATATACCTCTCTAACAACTTCTTCACAGGAAATTGTTAGTTTATTGTTTCTATCATTTTAAGTACATAAACTGTCTTTTTTTTTTTTTAAATTTGTCAATTTTAAAAGTGATACAAATAAATACAGAGCTTGGGAGTAGTTCCTTTAACAGCTCTAGACTGTTTTATGCTCAGGAAGTTTCCAAAACATACAACTGTTTGTGTACAATGTCTTTGCCAGAAGCTCCTCTTGACATTTACATTCCATGTTCTCTTCTCTCCAACATTAAAATAGTAATTTTCATCTACATAAAAATATTTAAAAAACCCAAAATAAGCCACCCTTATTTCTTTTGTCAGATTATTTATTAAAATAAATACTAGAAAAACAAAAAGGTATTTCTCTTCAGCTTGGTTGTATTTTAGAACAGAAATGCGGATACCTGGCTTCCAAAAATAGTCCATTTTTCCCCTGAAGTAAGACTGTTCAGTTAAACGCATACATTTGATACAACTGTTAGGTCTTTTTCTAAAATGCTAAGGAGTCTTTAAGGCAACAGTCAGGAGTGCTGAATTTTTGTCTGTTTTAAGGGTGGCTCATCTGCACATGTTTTGTCAATGCTGTTTTCTTCCTGGTCCTCATCTTCATCGTCTTCCTCTTCCCCAACATCACCTTGTAAAAGGTTACAATACATAGGTTAGTAACAGAAGCAGCGTTTGCAAATCCATGTTTTCAGGAGAGGGAACCAGAGGGCTCTGAAGATGGAGAGTTTAAATCAGCGGTTCTCAATCTTTTTAGGCTCAAGGCACCCCTCAGAAACTGACAGGTCTTAATTTGCACTTGACTACAGAAAAACAGTAGAGCAAAATTTCCTATTACAAAGTACTCAAAAAGACCACAGCAGGTCAGAAGGTTTCTAGCACCATAGAGTCCTATTAGCAACCTCTGGGTTTTTCTCATAGAAATAAAGGGCTGCAAGAGACCTCAAAAGATCACTGAGTCTAACCCCCTGTTCTGGGCAGGAATACTGCTGAGATCAAATGATCCCAGCAAGGTGTCTGTCCTATCTCCTCTTGAAGACTTCCAAGGTTGGGGACTGCATCACCTCCTTGGAAAGTCTACTCCAGATTCTGGTCATCCTTACCATAAACAAGGTCTTCCTTACATCCAACTTGAAACCATCCTCTAACAGTGGTTTCCAACCTTTTTAAGTAGATCACTTTTTGAATTAAAAAACAACTCAAGATCTACCATGCACCACCCTCTTCCCTCGCAGGTCAGTCTATGGGGAGGGAAGGGGAGGAACAGATTGAGGCGGAGAGAGAAAAAATGATTTGGGCTTGTGGCCCCTCATCAGGTAAGTCTGTGGGGGAAGGGACAGGGGGCAGATCAAGGCCGCAGCGGTGAGGGAGGGAGCAGGGCACAGAGAGGAGCAAGGGCTGGGGGAAGTAGAGCCCTGGCAGGGCCAGGGCATGTGCCCTCCAGGCCTCTGCATGTCCCCCCAGCCCCTGCCTGTCCCCTGCACATGCCCCCTATGCCCTCCTAGGCTGTGTCCCCCCACCCCCAGACAAGCCACTTACGGCTCCATCCTGCGCCCTGGCCTGCCCCACTCCCTCAAAGCCCAGCCCACGACAGCTGCCTCTGCTGCACACAGATGCGGGGAGCATGTGCCCCCCACGGCCTCAGCTGGGGTGCGCACAGTGGTGGGAGCCCCCCTACACTCCCTGGACAAGCTGGCTGGGCTCTGTCCAGCCAGGACCCACTCACCGTACCCCTGCTGCACTCTGTCCCTCACCACAGGGGCCTCGATCTGGTCCCTGCTCCTTCCCTTCCCCATGGACTGACCTGCTGGGCTTGGGGGGGGGGGGGCGCATGCTCAGCCCCCCCAGCCTCAGATCCACTGCAAAAGGCTCCGCAACCAACTGGTTGGCAACTGCTGCTCTTACAGTTTATGGCCGCTGCTCCTTGTTCTCCCCTGGGATGCTCCAGTGGACAGCTTTTCTCTCCACCCCTTACTTACAGACAGCCACCAAGTCCCCCCCTCAGTCTTCTGTCCCGAGATCCCTTAGTCTTTCCTCATCACCTTTGTCCTCCAGGCCCCGAATCGCTCTTGTAGCCCTTCCAAGATCCGGGCACAGCACCGCAGTCACGGGTGCATGTCCAATACCGCTACCGTTGCATGTCTCCCCCTAGGACAACAACTAAGTCTGCAGGCTCTCCAGGGCACGCGGCCCGGCCCCACTGAGAACCGCTGCTCCCGGGGGAGCGCAACCCCTCTTTGCCACCCGCCCGCTTCGGGTCCCAGCTCCTTTGCTGCGTCCGCCGGTACCTCGGGCCCCGGCACGTTACATTTAGGACGCGGTTAAGCAGCGCGCGACCCCTTCGGCGGGAACCAGCTGCTCCCGCAGGCAGTGAGCCCCGGGGTCGCGAGCAGACAATGCGCTGCTCCTCAGCCGCCGCGCCCCGGCCCCACTCACCCTGGGCGCCCCCGCGGGGGCCGGCGCCGCTCTCCTGCTGCACCAGGGGCCCGAGCAGCGCCGAGACCTGCTCCTGCAGCTGGGCCAGGCCCCGGCGTAGCGCGCGGAGCTCTCCACCTGCCCCGGTGCCAGGCTCGGGCTCGCAGCGCACCCGCAGTGGCTGCCTCTGCCCATCGCGCCCCGTCAGCTCCGCGCGCAGCTCCATGCCCCCTCCCCCTCGCGGGCCGGCCTGGAGCGGCATCGCCCGTAGCCAATCAGCGCCCGATCCGCGCTCCCCCGGAAGGCGTCATCATGGGCCGTCCCACCCCTAGGTCCAACGGCCGCCAAACGGCCCGTCCGCGGCCTTCCTAGACCCGCGCACCACCCCTTCTCTGTCACGTGGCGGAGGCCGGCCCGCCTCCTTTCGCGTTACGTGCCGCGCCCCTCCCCCTGGCGCCCCATTGGCCAGCCCCGTCCCCTCTCCCTCTGTGACTGGTTGCCCGGCGTGTCCTCCCCTCCCCCCCCGCCCGGGTCACATGCCGAGTCCCAGCCACCGGCTGCGTCACGTGACGGGCGCGCAGTTCCGTTTCCGCCGCGGCGCCCCCTGGCGGCGGTTTGGTGTTTCCCGCCTTGTCTTTCGCCTCGCGCGCTTAGGTCCCGCGATGGAGGAGGCGGCAGCGGCAGCAGCTGGGGGCACGGAATCCGGTGGCGGCTGTGCGGGGGCCCCGGACGAGCCCGTGGTGTCTCTGGCCGAGGTGCTGGCAGAGAACGAGGAGCTGGAGAAGGAGGCGCGCGCGGTGTTGGGCGGGAGCGACCACGAGCGCTGCAGCTACTCGCAGGTGAGGGGGGGGAGGGGAGGGGAGGTGGATTGGAACGGGGCGGGGCCTGTGCTGGGGGGCGGGGCAGGTAGGGGGTTGGAGGGGAGTTCGCCCCCGCCCCCCAAGTGCCCCTGATGTTGAGCTCTGTCCCCCAGCCCACACGGGCCTGGCCAGGGCTTACAGGCAGGATTGTTGGTCCCTGCGGAGGGCTGACAGCTGCGGAGCTGCCTTCCTGTGTGCGGGGGCTGGGTGGAGAGAACCGTGGTGCAGGAGGCAGGGCCCAGGGCATGTGGGACCCGTGGCCCTGTTCTTCCCCTGCCCACCCTCATCCCTAAAGAGGGAGACGTGACACCCCCTGACCAGCCTAGTGGTCGGGTAGCTTGTGGCAGAACTTGACCCACCACAGCCCCATGTCTCGTCTTTAAAGAGCAGAAAGATGTTGTGAGCTGCGGCAGTGTGAAGCCAGGTCGAAGTCGGGGGAAGAGGTGCAGCTGGTAGATCGGGGTGGCCGGTCTGCAGCACAGGCCCTAGCAGCCCCTGTGACAGATCAGGGAGGGGACGGGCAGCGCCGTGGCAGGCAGGGCAGGGAGCAGAAGGCAACGCAGGGGATGGGGCAGGTAGCACAGGGCTGGGATCAGAAAGTTTGGGTGGAGGAAGAGGATCAAAGCGGCACTTGAGGAAGTGGCTGAGCTATTTTAAGGCCTGCCTGCAAAAAATGGTCGACCTGCCAGGGAAGCTTTAGTAAGCAGTGTTCTTGAAGAGTGCCTTGGAGGTCAGCCCTTGGGACTATGAGATATTATTCATAAAGTTTCCAAGTATCCTGTACGTGTGTGCGTATCACATAACTTCATAATTAGCTTAATTGTGAAGCTCAGGGTCAGTCCCATTTTATTACCTGTTGCTTACATTGAAACAATCATCGGCTATTTGCATATTGGTTAAAAACATTAGCTGCTTAAGTGCATGGGAACCCTCTGCTTTGTAAGGGAGTTGCTTTGTAAGGGTTTAACTGCATGATACAAGCTGGCTGGGAGCTGTCCATTTCGAGGCTTCTAAGGTAAGCTCAAGCCTACTAGGCCCTCCAATTTCAAGGCTGTTTATAAGGTGTTCTGAGAAACAAAGTAAGAAACCTTTTTGAGGTGCAGAAAGCTTAGCGCACTTGCTCCTGTAGTTAATAAGTAATTATTGACATTGAGATGGGGTAAGTATGGACCCTTTTATTAGTCCCAACACTGTGCACTTTAACAGGGTGCATTTGCACTGTGAATGCTGTCATTCTGTTTTGTAGCAAGGTTCTAGTGTTTGAGCTGGGATTCTTTCCAGAGAATGAGAGAAACAAGGTTTGTTTGGCAATATTTTTTATTGAGGGAGATTCAGTAAGCTTTCAGGCACAGGGTTTTATGGGACACTAAAACTGTGGACTGAACACAGACAGTAGTTTTGTAGCTTATGATTTATTTGCTTCCTGTTAGCCTCCTCCCTTTTGCATGGGATTATTCTGGTGAAAATAAATGGTGAAACTAAATAAACAAACCTATATTTTTATAGGTTTATTTCAACTGCCTTTTTCTTGGTTTGTAGCTGCTTTTGATGGCTTCCTTTAATGGCACAGGTTTACTGCTGTCTTCCCTTCCCTTAAGTCTCATCAGCAGGGCAGGGTGGCACTGTAGAGACTAACTCTTTCAAACAGGCATGAGCTTTCATAGGCAGCAGTCTACTTTGTCAGGTGCTAATTACCTCTCTACTTATTAAGTGCTGTTGTTTAAATTCATTGTGTAAACGAAAAAGATTCTTGTTTTACCTGGTATTTACCTCAGGCTGTATGTACCTGCTGCTTTCCCAGAATTGAAGGCACTTTGTGCACAAAAGCTTGTCTAACATCTTTCCCCACTTCACGGTTAGTTTAGTAAAAGATACTGCCAAATAAATACTGATTCTCTCTGAACCTCTGGTGCTAGCCTGCACATCAGCATTAACTTGCTTCTTGCTTCTGACAAATTGCATTTAGTACTTCAGTCAAACAGCTGACCCTTTTCAGATTATTTCTGTGCCTCTCTCTCTTCTTATATCTATTGTTTCTTTGTAGGGTGCTGTAAAGAGACAAGCTTTATATGCTTGCAGTACTTGTACTCCGCCAGGAGAAGAACCGGCAGGGATATGCTTAGCCTGCAGTTATGAGTGTCATGGAACACACAAGCTGTTTGAATTGTACACAAAAAGGTAAAGCACTATTGGGGCCATTTCTGAGGTACTTCCATTTATCTGCCACATCACGAAGCAGTAAAATACAATATTGAAGATGGCATATACCTGTAAGGCTAGGGACAGAAATGACACAGAAACTGGTTTAAACCTGTAACAACAGAAGTTCAGTGCACATAAACTACATTCAAAATGGCCAAAACTGATTTAAGATAAACCAGTTAATTGATTTAGGGTACATTGGTTTATCGTGCTTTTGTCCCAGGTCCTCTCCAGGTTCAAGTCAACTCACAGTTCCCCAGCATTCCAGGATGCTTTGCACTTCCCTTGCACCCCTCTCTCTGCCACACAGGCTGAGCAGGCTACCTTGGCTCAAGCTGTCTGCTCCAGCCAATCAGGGAGGCATGCTCTAGCACCCCCTGTGTTCTGGCCTGGGCTACCGCAGGCATATGGCTGCATTTCCAGAATCAACATTAAATGTCTGTTCACTTTCTTAATGGTTCAGTCTACACAGCTTAGACTAACCTGTGAAGATTGAATCAATTAATCCTCTGGCTTTTTGACTGTCTGTACTTAGCCTAAAAGGATTAACCTAAAGGGATTTGTGTTGTAGAAAATGTTTGTTGTGGTCACGGAGGCAAAAATGGTGTTGGAGAGAGATGTACAGTACCTTTTGGGTTGGGGTACAGGGTTGGGGTTGCAAAAAAAATGTTGTATTTAAACTTTCAGTTTCTATGTAAATTTTAAAAAGTGCTCCTGCTTGCATGCCTTATAGGGACTTTCCATCCATGCTCATGTGATTTTTCAAGTACTTCAGCCTACCACACATTCTTGGGCAGAAATTTACTCTGTTTTCTACATTGCATACCAAAGGTGGCTATTTCACTGATCAGCAATGGTATGCTAGGTTAAGTGAAGAAAAATATTAGATGAATATTTAACAAAGTAAACTGAAAATTTGTTAAATATTTTGATTTATTATCCAAGGAAGAATTAGCCTCTTATCCTTACTAGTACTAAAGATGGCATCTTTATTAATTACAAGGTGATAGCACCATGTTGTGAATTAGTTGCTGTCTTTCAAACACATATGCTTACTCATAAGCCTCAGAGTATTCTCGGCAGCAATAATTACATGGGCCAGAGGAGTATCCCAATTGAATAGTGATTCTACTCAACACTGATACTGAAATCTGACAGGCTGTCAGCATGAGGGAGTAATGCTGCTGTACTTTGATCAGTTCTAAAAGATGATATTGTGAATTAGCTTATGAGAGTATGTTCTAGTTCTCAGTTGGCAGTGGGGAGCCCTTAAAAGTATAAAAATAAAATAATTTTGAGACACTTAAAATATCTGGACTGCTATGTTTTTTTTTTCCCCAGAAACTTCTGCTGTGACTGTGGAAACAGCAAATTCAAAAATTTGCAATGCAGATTACTTCCAGTAAGTTTACACTTTGCTATCTCCATTCTGTAGAGAAAAATAAAAGCTGGTGCTGGTATTGGTTCTCCAAGTAGGAGAGGTTAGTTTTGCTTTCCTCTGTCACAAAAACCAATGTACTCTCAGTAGGGAACTGATTAGAGAAGCTATGGTTAAAATGGATTCATTGCATTGTATAGAGTTAAGATTTGCACAGCAAAACCAGGACTTACAGCTGTTGTTAGATACAGGCTATAACTTTTTAAATATAGTTTTAATTAAATTATTTGGGTACCAGTCACATAAGTTAGCTAAACTCAGATTGAGTTAGCTTGTGTACAGATCCTAAAGAACATGACTTAGAATGGTTTTACTGTTACCAGTAAGCAAAGCGAGGTGTTGAATCCCATTCTGGAAGATGGGAAGACCATGCAGTTCAGTTGACCCTACAGCACTGAATCTAAAACATTGGTAAAATACTCAGAAGTATGGGCAGAACTGAAGGTTCAGAACTCATAGGTTTGTTTGGATAAAATTGTAGTGCGTTGATTCCAGGGGTTGGACTAGATCAGCATTTCTCAATCTGTGGGTCACAAGAATATATGAAAGGGTTGTGAACAAACTGTAAAAATGGATTCTCCTTTAAAGGAAAAAATGTGGGAATCTGTAGCTTTTTCCTTGCAGGCTGTCAGGGTTGCAGCCTGCAAGGGGATGCTTGGGGCCCCCTCTGTCCCACACATCCACCCCCTGCCCTGCACACTGGTGGTGTGGGGGTGGGGGGCAGCAGGTCAAGAGTGAGGGGCACTGGGTCAGGACTGGCCATCATTGTTTACAAATGGGTCCTGGTACAAAAAAGGTTGAGAACCACTGGAGTAGATGACCTCTGGAAGTCCCTTCCAGCCCTACTTATCTATGGTTTTATGATTCTCAGCCAGGGTGCTATAGCACCTGGGGTGCCACTTAAT